CTTAGTTGAGAAATTATTCGCACATGGTGTTTCCGCAGACCTTTCATTATTTAGTATCTCCACCATGCAAAGCCTCAAATCTTACGCAACAATTTAACAATAAAGACGAGAGAGAGAGTCCTTTGTATCACTAAATAGTAACAAGAAGTGTAACTTCGATCTAGGCTATTTGTATCGGGTTTGGCTTGGGGTCTGGTTTTTTTTTTTTCGCTGGTCACTGACAACATCAAAACCAAATTGCATTGCACAATTTTTTTTTATTTCGCTGGCGTTCAAATCCTAGTCTACATTGTATGTAATAGAGACTATGGCTCTATTTGAGCAGATTTGCTAAAAAAAAAAAAGGCAAGACAACCGTATCTTGACCTCAAAGATTTTGACCAATCAGCGGGCGCTTTCTATATCGGGTCTTCGGTCCAAAAAAAAAAGACACATCAACAAAGGCTGTGGCCACGCGCTCTTTATTATGTTACGCAATACACGCCCGGCTGTTGTTGTATTACAAAACACTGCATTCGAATTGACCAATCAAACGTTTAGTCCTGATTTGGGAATGAAATGATGTCACGATTTAGTAAAGTCGACTCCGATTGGCTGAGGCGCGAGATCTCATAAATTTGCATACTTTGATATATCAGACGTTATAGAGGAGTCTGGGCTTCGTGGATAACGGGTGATACTCGGACTATTCAAAATCCAAGAGCTTAAAAAGAAATCACCCAAAGCCGATGATGAAACCCCGAATTGGAAAAAGTCCAGTTCCAGTTCCAGTTCCATTTTGTGCGTTCCAGAACCACGACGTGGGAGTCTGTGACACGTTGTATGTTTGTACACGACAAGCGGCAGCTGTTACGTACTGTAATCGCAAAGTGACGTGAACATCAGTTTACACCGTAAGTCATTGCAAATATTTTTCGCAAAGTTTTGCTTACATATATGTACATTTTTTAGACTTGAGTTTAATATTAGCCTTTGCTCAAGTTGAGTCGCGTCTTCTGATGAGGGACTCGAGTTGAGCCGAGTATTTAACCCATTGTGACTCGAGTCGAGTGGCCAAAACTTGTGACTCGAGTCAGACTCGAGTTGAGTCATTACAACTCTGACCAGTACAAGACTTTGAGTTGTTCAAGAGGAGACTGACAGAGGCAGTAGGGCAAATTAACAACAATACTAGTTTACGATACAATGTTTAATCTAAATTCCAAAAAGAACTAAAGAAACAAGGAAATAGGCCTACTACTACCGTAGAATGATCACAATTCACTGCACACTATTTCTTGCATCAAAACTTTTCTTCAATGGTTTCTGCTGACAATGCATAAGGGATTTCCAGCATTTGAAGGTTAAATTTGAAGGTTGAATTTGAAAGTCTTGGCTTGGATAGTTTTTCCTTTTTATATTTTTATTGCCAACAGCACTCTCAGTGTTATTTTCCCACAACTCTCCTCCGAAACCAAAATATAACAATTTATCAGTCCAGCCATGCTCAATGTTATCACACAAACACAGGCGGACATTGAAAAGACGGCATGATGTTTTTCTTTCACAGCGCACACCAAAAAAAAGCCCTGAGCTACCCTGGATGGGTGCCTTCCATTTTGACTTCATTGTTATTGTTCACAGTAACTCACCGAGCCTGATGTATTTGCCTAAGTACACTTTAACACTGACCTTCAGGAGCAACAAAACGTAAAGGGAAATAAACTTAAAAAGGTCGGGTTCAACGCGTCAGATAAACTTTTGCATGAATGGGCAAGCAAGCAAGCTCCCTTTATTTGCAAGTTTCAACCTTCCTGAGAAAAAAGGTTTCACGATCTCCACCTAACTGAAACACGTACATCTGTACTGATAGAAAATGCTGTCCCAAATAAATAAAACCGTAAGGGCCTGATATATGTACCATGTTGTTTTTCTGTATAACATTACCCATATACTTCTATGCTATTACAATTTAATAAGGGAATAAATGTGTGTTTGGGAGGTATTATAACACTCTGTTTAAGACCGGTTTGAGTCTGGATGGGAGATAAGGCCAAAAAAAAGAATAGTTCTGCTTCCGATTACCCGACCGACCCTATTTTTAGGCTGCGACCCTAAAAAATTTATCAGCAATTCCAAAAAAAAAAAAAGAAAAAAGATTGAATAAATAAAAATAAAATTTTGTTGTCTTTTCTGTCTTCACAAAATACCTCTCAACAACCCTTTTGCATCAAAAAATGCTTGTATTTATTTGTTTTCTTACTTACATTCGCTTTTTTTCAAAAGAAACCTCCGTTATTTTTGCAAATTCGCTTCGCGATATAAACGATGTCCGTACGGTGACTATGTCACGTGGCGACGACTGGTTCCCGCCGCGCCGCGCAGTGGCCAATTGTTGACCGTGAAAACAGGTCTGTCGGCCCATGGCGGGCCGCTCGCCATACATGCTCGCATCACACACCTCGGAGTTTTGGCCAGCTCCCCGCATCTTGACTAGCGTTGTGCATATGGTGCGAACGACCTGAATTTTCCATTATTTTTTGAAATTATCGAACGTAAATATATTGACAATAATTAAAGGTAGGTTTTATTCACTTTTTGTTGCCATTTCGTGTATAGCTTTCGTAGTGCAATGGAAATAGTTCAGGCTAAAACTTCGCATATAATTGAATACCCCATTCAATCTGCATAAAAAAAATTGGCAAAAAAAAAAATTCCGACCGACCGACCCTATTTTTGAAAGGCATGTAATCGGAAGCAGAACTACTTTTTTTGGGGGGCCTAATTACCCAAGGCAAAGCCGAGGGTAATTATCGCCCATCCAGACTCAAACCGGTCTTAAACAGAGTGTTTAATACCGACCGAACACACATTTATTCCCATTCATAAATACCTTTTCGGTCTAAACAATTTTTTAAAATGTCAAAAACTAGACGTTGCCAACCATTTTGTTCAACAATTTTACATCATGTTTTACGAAACACCCCTTTGACCATAATATGGAATGCCCCTCCACAACTCGTTACCTTATAGGGACATTGGCGTGCGCGTCGCGCGTACTGCGCGATGTTGCGCAAAATGCAGCTGGGCTGGTGAAGTGTGAATTTCGGACCATGAAAAAATGATTCACTGGTAGTACATTGCGCGCGCATGCATAAGAGAGGAATTTGAACGTTCAACCAATAAAACGTTAAAAGGCACTGGATTTCATTGAGTCCAAATTTCATGTGACACTGGAAAAGTGTTTAAGACCAGCTAGCCATGTCTTTATCTTCTGTTTAAGACCGGCCACGTGACGGGCTCTCGACCAATAGGAATGCGTAAACTGTCTTAGGCATTTATGAATCACAATTTATATTAGGAGAAAAGTAATATGCAGAATTTTACATTACTTTAACCCCCAGGCTCTTTTGCTAGGAACCATCCTTAATCCTGCAAGTTAGGTACATGTACATGTACGTAACGTTTCCCTAATTATTTCGCAGCATCATCACGATGCAACCTCTGATGAAATACAGTGCATCTCCAGCCTGTATTGTCCCTGATGACAAAGCTTGAGCTTCCTACTGTACATTCTCCGTAAACTGAAGACCTCTTTGGCAATGGATTAACCCAGTTTCCAGGGCAGTTTCAATACACAAGTTCTCTGCTCTCTACCAAGAAAAGTCTTACTTCTCTGCCTACATGTAGGTTTGGGTGAGATGTCATATGTACCCCAGATGTACAATGTACCTTGGAGTCGGGTTGGCGCAGCGGTTTCTTTTCTCGCATTCCATCCCGGTGACCCGGGTTTGATTCCTGCCCTTGTCTAAATGTGTGGATTGGGTTTTCAGTCCCTACCTGATTCCGTGGATTTTCCCCAGAATGTTCTTCTGGGGTTTAACTCCCACCTCTAAAACTGTTAGTCCTTCTCATTGCCTTTTCTATAGGTTTCTTCAGGCTTGTGCCTAGGACACTTTTGAGGATTCTGGGGTTTCAGTACCAGAAATATAATAATAATAATTACCGGGAATGGGTCATTTGGGAGACATTCCCATAGACTTGTGCACAACATTTTTCAAACTTAAATGTGCCCTAACCCAATATTCAGGCATGCAACTGGGAAATCACAAAAAAAGAGAAAATTCAAATTTGTCCCAGACTTTGTACAGTGTTTTTCTATTGTCAATGGCACACATGGGAAGTAAAAAAAAGAGGAAATCAGCTGATCCAAGGAAAAGTTGCATGCCTGAATATTCCCTTGTCCTTTTTCCACGAATTTCGGTATTTTTACTAATTAGACCATGAGCAACAAATATAATCTGATTGCGACAGTAAAATTTTGCCTCTAAAGGGGGGCTGTGGAATTAGGGAGACATGAAAATGTCTCCCTAATGACCAGTGTCTCCCTATTGTCGAAGAAATGACGATAACGTGTCTCCCTAATGGTATATTTGTGAGAATAACCAGTACCCTGGATTGGACATTTGGGAGACATTCCCATAGACTTGTGCACAACATTTTTCAAACTTAAATGTGTCCTAACCCAATATTCTCTTGTCCTTTTTCCACAAATTTCGGTATGTTTACTACTTAGACCACAAGCAACAAATATAACCTAATTGCGACAGAAAAACTGTGCCTCTAAACAACACTAGGGAGACATGAAAATGTCTTCCTAATGACCGATGTGCCCCATCGTGAGAAGAAATTACGATAACGTGTCTCCTTAATAATGGTACCTTTACACATATAATGATAATAATACCTCTTCTTTGTGAAGCAAGTGTCAAGCTCAATTTCATAGCGCAACTTAACAGTAAGCAGAAAAGTGTGCTAACCTATAGCACTCTTTCACAGCATGGATTTGCTCATGTTGAACACGAATGGAGATTTCTAATGTTACGTCACTAATTTCAGCAACTTTTTTTTTATCTGAGGTAAGCACACCCTTGTATGCTTTCTGCTTATTGACAATCATTTGACAATAGAAAGAGGCTCTTGTAAGCATTGCTATAGTTAGGGGTGGCATCGATACTCACCTAAGCAAGTAGACCGCACGCTCGATATCACCCAAACGTTCATCAACCGTAAGTCGCTCGATTTCTTCAGCAGTCTGTAATTTTACAAGTATGAATCAAACAAACCAAATTTTATCTAACAAAAATACATATGTGCAGCTCTTTCAAAATATCAATGATACTTGGGCTCAGTAGATTGAAAATTTGAATTGGTATACAAATTGTATGCATAAAAAGCAATTCATTGCAACAGTTTTGTTCAAAGCATTGGAAAAGCATTGTCCGGATCATGAATTTGCAATACGAACACGTCATTCTGTATTATCTCTGACTCTGGTACAAAATACCTTGGGCTATTCTAAGAAAGCAATCAGTTTGAAGAAGATTGACAAATAAGTTTCTTGGAATCAATCGCTAAATCTGAAATATCGGAAATCTTGACACAATTTTGGTGCGGTGAGTCATGGACATTTTCAAAGTATTTTCTAAGAAAATTTGAGAGGTAGGCAGGGAAGTGCAAGTAATCGCATGCCTGAAGCCCTCTGTACCGCACAGCTTGGCATACATTTACAGCATGATTATATACATCTGTGAGCTCTTGAAATGGCTTTACTGTAAACCAAGATGAATATTATAAAAAAAAACATATCAGGTTGTTCAGTCCCAATTTGTACCACAGAATCACACACCTAGAAAAATCACACGCCTATTAAAAATGTGCCTTTTTCCACACACCTGTCATGCCTGTGATTTTCAAATCAGGACTGCACTTTAATAGGCTGATCATGGGTTATATAATCTGGCTTGAGCCTTTTTGACTCCATATCCTTGTTTATTCCAGTACGTATGCATCTAGCTTGTTCTTGAATAGATTTGTTGATCTAGCCTACTCCTAGAACTATGACGCTCCACGTAGTGGAGCCTCATGGTTCAGAACCCCGCAAAATTGTTGTCAGCACAAAACACTAATTAAGTACAAAAACGTCCATCCCAACCAAGCTTTTTCCCACAGAACCGCTGCACAGTTTGCCCCTAAACTCTGTACAATACCTCATGACATACTCACGTTATGTGCACCCAACAAACATCGGTGGATTCTGTCTGTTTTCGGCAAAAATGATGAAAAATATGCCCTTTCCGCACTGAGCCAACCTAACACTTGAAACGAGCACGCGCGCAGAAAACTAGAATGATCGCAGTCATTTTCGGTTCGATCGCTCGGAGCGCGCCACGGGGGGTATGGTGTAGGAGCGGAACGATAGTATGCGCATGCGTACAAGTGCAAGTACGTACCCCCCGCAGCGCGCTCCGAACGATCGAACCCGAAAATGACTGCGATCATTCTGCGCGCGTGCTCGTTTCAAGTGTTACGTTGGCTCAGTGCGGAAAGGGCATATTTTTCATCATTTTTGCCGAAAACAGACAGAATCCACCGATGTTTGTTGGGTGCACATAACGTGAGTATGTCATGAGGTATTGTACGGAGTTTAGGGGCAAACTGTGCAGCGGTTCTGTGGGAACAGCTTGGTTGGGATGGACGTTTTTGTACTTAATTAGTGTTTTGTGCTGACAACAATTTTGCGGGGTTCTGAACCTATGAGGCTCCACTACGTGGAGCCTCATAGTTCTAGGAGTAGATCTAGCCTTCACAACTTCAGCAGGGAGACTGAACCGATCTCCGTCTATGTATCCTTGTAACACAAAAATCCTCCAAAGCCACTGACCACTACTTAAGAACAAAAATTAAATTTATTTTAATGAAATGTAGGGAAAGAATGTTGCAACCTGACGCTGCTTATTTCTTCATCAACTCAAACTCAATGAAGGTCAGTCATATTGCAAACATGATGATATTGATCATGTTGATAAGATTATGAATCTGGGACTGAGAATGAGATACGTTTCCAATTTTGTTACTGTTAGGAAATACTTAGAACATTTTCTAGACTTTGGTTGCAACATTCTTTGGAGCAACTATAGAATGCAGGGCCACGCCGAAGCAAGGTTTTTTATTTTGCCTGGAGGCGTGGATGGAATAGGAGTAATAGATATGCAAACCTGCAAAAAGTGCTAAGTACAGCGAAGGAATGCACTGCACTTGTCTTCTAAGCTTCTCATGAAGGATCGGAAGGGAGGGCGTGCTTGTAAATGTGTTGGGGGCACTGTCTGGAGTGGCGGAGGCGCGGAGTCTTGGAGTCGCAGAATTGCGGAGACGCGGGGCACTGGAGTGGCCGCAGTGGCGGAGGCGCGGAGTCGCGGAGTCGCAGAGACTCGCGCCGATGGAGGGCGCAATTCTCGGCGGAATTTTTTTGAGAACGAAGCATCCATATCCATTTTAAATGGGCGCGCAAATTAGGAAGGGAGGAGGGCGACGGGGCACTGTCTGGAGTGGCGGAGGCGCGGAGTCTTGGAGTCGCAGAATTGCTTTAAATGGGCGCGCAAATTAGGAAGGGAGGAGGGCGACGGGGCACTGTCTGGAGTGGCGGAGGCGCGGAGTCTTGGAGTCGCAGAATTGCGGAGACGCGGGGCACTGGAGTGGCGGAGGCGCGGAGTCGCAGAGACGCGCACCGATAGAGGGCGCAATTCTCTGCGGCTCCACGACTCCACGATCGATTTTCGGAGGTAGGTCGACTGCGGCTCCACGCCTCCACGCAGCTGTACGGAGGCGCGGATGCAGAGTAAAGTGGCCCTGCATTCTATAGTTGTACCCATTCTTTCCTAGTTTATCACGTCACTGCTGCCGTAAAGAAATATAATTTACCTTCAAGCTGCTCGTTATCGTCTTTTCCAAGCTGAGGTCTGCCAGATTTTCATCTAATTCCAAAGCAAGCTCGTCCACCACTCCAGTGGACATGGTGGACGTTGTTGAACGTCCTCCCCAATCCATGGTTCTGGAAGCCACTTTCACGGCATGTCCATTGACGCAGATATAAGGGTATTCTATTAAAAGGAGGAAAAAACAGTCAATATTCCAGTCGAATGACTTAATTCCAATGTTTACTAGCAGTGACTAGGTCAATCAATCGTGAGTTACGCTCGCCGCCATTTCCAGTTGTTATAACTTCTCACTGGTTGTCAACCACTCGTATTTTAATGTGGATACATGTACATCAGCGGAAACCAGCGTACATGTCCACGCGCATGTATTTTTGGTAAGAGCAGCCGATAGGGGGCGCCATAACTGCAAAAAGAAGCAGACTACAGCTCTGCGAAGCCAAAGGTGGCAGCTTTCGGTGGGGAGGTTGGGGGGGGGGGCCAAAAAACACAGCACGAAAAACCTGGCACCTCAGCCGTAACGTGATAGCAACTCCTTGCCGCTCTTTTTTTGGCATTTTTTTTATCTGGCAGAAAGGATCTTCCAGGGAGCATCTCAAATCTGCAGAGGTTATTATGAGCTGGGTCACTCCGTAAGACATTTTATCATTGCCGGTCCTAGTTTGGTGCCATCAGAGTGGAAAGATGAAAATATGGTGTTCACTTGATGCCGTTCACCTCAGTCGGATGCATTTCTTGCCCTGCGCATTCTCACTGAACTTCACCGTGAGTACCTTGAGTGCCGTGAGTGGGTCGTCCCCGGCCCTTTCGGGATACTTATGTTGACATAACTAGGCTGATTCGGTTGACCGGCCCAGACTTTGGGACCTCCTGTACTCAAAGGAATTTAGCTTGTCAATCTGCGCTTCATTGTCTTGTTGGACACCAGTAGTGCAAACACCTCCGGTTTAAATTCTCAAGATGGAATATTTTGGAGGATTACCAACAAAGTACCAAGTATAGAGTCGGTCCGGATCTTTCTCCGTCTTTTCCCCGAGGCTTCCTCTGGGGTTCGGCAGGGATGTGTTGGCTCACAACTTGTTTTGCACTGTCGATGTCATGGACCAAGACGTGAGCCCTCCCTACCTTCTCCATGCTGCCGATGATGCTGCCCTTTGCATTGAGGACCGTCCCGGCAAATGGGGTGATGTCCTCAAAACCCTTGGACAGGAGGCCAGCCTCAGACTCTCGTGGGCAAAAACCCCGGAAGGTTCAGAATGGTCCTCTGCTAACCCTACCCCCCCCCCCCCCCAGAGTTGTAATGACTCGAGTCAATGACTCGACTCGAGTCCGACTCGAGTCACATTTTTTGGCGACTCGACTCGACTCGAGTCCCGACGGGTAAATGACTCGACTCGACTCGAGTCACTGCGAGCAAATGACTCGACTCGACTCGAGTCCCTCATCAGAATGACTCGACTCGACTCGAGGAAGGCTAATAAGACTCGAGTCCCAAATAAAAGCAAAACTTACTTGCGAAAAATATTTGCAATGACTTACGCTGCGCCGTTCGCGTTGCCAGTTTTTGTTCACGTCACGTTAATGTTCGCGAATAATGTCTGTTTCCTTCCTCCATAATGAAACAACAAACATACACCGTGTCGCGGACTCCCACCTTGTGGTTCTATAGCATGTAATGCTAAACCCGGAACCAGACTTAAAACGCATTTCTCAATCCGTGGTTTCATCATTGGTTTCGGGCGATTTTGAAGTTCTTGGTGGAACGCTGGCTAAATTCATGTCCCGATTTCACACACAAAAATGGATACGGACGGGCCCACCTTTAAATAATCAGAAACAGTTTTGTATAATGCAATTAGGTTTTAACGTTGTCAGCGATCAGCGAACAACAAAATCTAGACCCGAAGCCAAACCAGTTATAAGACCGAAGTTTCACATCTTCTTATCTGTGACGTGAGCTAGCAATGGAAACTGTTGGTTGGGTACCATACAGCATACTTTATGTCTTTGGATTTCCGTAATAGACTGGTGCCTTGTATTCTTTCTCTCTTGTGTTTGTTGCTTTTTATTGTAATTAAGTGTTCAAATATTTGTGACTCGAATTGACTCGAGCTAAATACTTGACTCGACTCGACTCGACTCGACCACACTCTGTGACTCGACTCGACTCGACTCGACCTTGTTGACCTAATGACTCGACTCGACTCGAGTCACTTCTTTAAAATGACTCGACTCGACTCGAATCACAAAAATCAGTGACTCGTTACAACTCTGCCCCCCCCCCCCCCCCCCCCCCCCCCATCTCAATCGACTCTGATGGGGATGGGGGTTGAAGATATTAAACCCTACACACTTTCGGGAATCTGAAGGTAAAAAAAGGTGCGGCAACTGAGCGATTTCGGCATAAGAGTTAGACCAAAAACCATAAAGTTGATGACGCCGGTGGGTGCAGCCAGTATATTCAGGACAACACGGTGTTTCATCTGGTACATGATAATTTCAGTTCGCCACCACAGTGCGGTGATGAATCTGCGCGGGAGTACCGAATGGGAATGACATCCGAGTGCAGCACACGACTAGCTGAACATGTGAAAGTGCACAGTATATTGAAGCAAAACAATAAAACGACCACAGTTTATGAAGGGCGCCCTCCAATGATCTTGCGCCCGATAAGCTTCATCGGTCTGTCTGATTCCTTGACCAGGCGGGCATCCAGCTCTGTCCATTTTGTATTTTTTTTTCATAGAAATTCATTAAAAATAAGCATGAGGCACAAGTTGTTTATGGGGGTATTTCATTGTTCACTATTCATTATAGTGTTCAAAATCGTCGGATTTGATCAGTGCCCGCATTGGAAGTATGGTACGACCCCCCCCCCCCCCCTTTTGATTTCATTCGGAGACCAAGTGTCCATACCAAAAACCCTGTCTAAAACCCTGTCTACCTTTCAGGATTGATTTGCTGATGACCCCCCCCCACCCCCACCCCTGCGAAAATTTCTGGATCCGCCCCTGCTTATACCCTACATTTTGGGGGTTCTAGATCGTTAAATAGATGCCATAGACCTTAAATACGCCCACTTCCCAAAACTATTTAAAACGCTTACAGGCTCTGTGAGGTGTTCGTCGTTTTCCCAGTTTTATGGGTGAGGGTTTTTGTTTTCTTTCGCTTTTCCTATTTTGCGAATTACTATAGTTGTTGGGAAAAAGATAAAGGTGCAATATATTATATTACATCATTCTTTATTTTTCCGGTATAATATTGTATTTGGCGTTTTTGTTACGTCAATTGGAAATTGCGCCTTTAATGATGGTGGTCATATTGATCGAACGAAACTTCGTTTTGATTACAGTCAATTATTAAATATCCATTGATTTATGACATAGACCCTGTGTTTTGTTTTTAATACTACCGTAGACCTGCCGAGCAGATGTAAATATCTCAACCAATAACTCAACCAAAGTTCACCGCCCCCCCCCCCCAAATAGAGGATAAAAAAAATCGAAAAGTTATGTGCTAGCCAAGCATCATGCAGGGATCGGATGATCCATCACAATGACCCATGCCAATCCCTTACAGGACTCTTCTGGGATCTCGGCGGTCCCGGCCTACACACTTCCTTCCCTGTCCATCCATGTAACCCGAGGGCCAGGCACCATGTAAAAGCAAAGAGCTAAGAGAGGAACAAGGCGGCGCCCTAAGCCCTGATCCTCCGAGTGGACCACATGCCCTGAACCATACGAAGATGCCCACCTGGAACTCAAAGACAGTCCCAGCAGCAGCGCTTACCGATTAACCCTAAAGGGGCCGGGTTATTTTGACCATCTCTCAGCCGGGGGGGGGGGGGGGGGGGGCGGATTCCGCCGCCCCCGCCCCCCCCCCCCCCCTAAGATCTCGGCCATCGAGTGACGAAAAATTTTGAAACTCGGCACATGCATAGAGCAACTCTTCCTAAACATACCCAAGAAATTTCATGACTATAGGTCAAAGGGTTTTGGAATTATGGCTAATTAATTATTCATATGTACGAATGGCAATTCTGCTCTGTGTTTACGACGTATATGCGAAAATTCAGTTTTCACGGCAACCCGTGGTCCGATTTTTATGTTTTTGGTATCAAAAGATGCGCAAAGCTCGAGGCTAAAAAGTCATAACAGCTCGGGTCGCGAAATTTTTTTTTAGAGGCTATCACGGAAAATGTTGAGGAAATTTCGCAAAACAATAACCGAGAACATTTTGATTATTTCAGGCCTGTGTGGTTACCTTTGGACCTGAGATTAGGCCACCCTTCTGAACAAATAATTATGAGTGCATGTTGCAGATGTTATCTCTGTTCAAGTTCTTGGTAGCCTATGTCATGTACAGTGCATGTTGTTTATGTTGGGTGCATATTTAATCATAACCCTAACCCTCATCCTAAGGATTTCGCCCCCCCCCCGGCCCCTTTAGGGTTAAGCTAAGGTACTAGATTGTTGGTATTTTACGACGGGAAATTAAACATCTTATAACGTGTGTTAAACATACTTATCGTTACACAACAATGAACACACATGTTTACGTTACATACCTAGTGTGGACATTCTTTTTGTTTTGGTGTAGTTAACTGTTAAGAAAAACCTGTGAAAAAAATCGTTTTACTCACACTGTGAAAACTCTTTCAACCCATTCCCCCTGTGATTCCCTTTAGTGTTTCTCTTCATTCTGCTACAAATAAACCTAACGCAAAAATGTCTCTAACCCTGTTTTCCAGGGAGGGGGAAACATTGTGTGGACGTGGGCAAGTCCACATGACGTGAAAGAGAAATATCGTGCCGAAAATGAACTCTCACTTCCAAAAATCTCCAATACATGAGGACTTGTGGAACTCGGAGCACTCGTACGAAGATACAAATTTATGAAATTATTTTGTGGCGGTCGTTGGGTAAAAACTTAACTTAAATCAGGAGACTAAATTGTCTTTTGGGACATACATTATTTTTGAATAAAACTGAAGGACAAATTCTCATTCACAAACAAATCTAAAATGACCGTTGATAAAGACTGTATTCAAGCAATTAGCAAACTAAATCTAGACTCCATCGGATGTAGGTATAGGGATTAATCTTCGCGTCGTTCTCATGCAAGTACGCAATGTGAAAAGTGATCGAACAAGGAGACCGATAGGTACGAAAATCCGGATGTGAGAGGTACGAGTACAATTTGTTTTTACCCATCTCCAACTGTTTTCTCGTCATTCTTTTCCTGTCGAATGCCAATATATAATTCCAACATGAATGTTTTCTGGAATGATTACAGTTAGAAATCATTCCGTCAAAAAGTACA